ACCTATTTTTCATCCCACCTCTCAAAAGGGCTAAGTAAATTTAAGTCTGAATTAGAAATATTTCAAACAGGTTCCAAAATTAACAATGAGCAGAGGTTAGTAAAACAGAGTAAAGGAACTACAGGAGATATCTGAATGGGTATATACATTTTCTGGTGGCTCTGGAAAGAGCATTTGAAGGAAGATACTGGTAGTTAGCTACAATAACTAAATATTTTCTGAATAGCAAAGATAACAATATGTACACAAAAGTCCCGATTCCTGCAAGACATTGAGCAACCTCAGCTCCCGGAAAGTGCTCAGCACTCTGCAAGATCTAGCTTTAAAAGGAGTTTTCATAAGATTTGGTAGAAACATCTGTCATTATTTCACTATTTCCACTCACTAAATCATGTTTTCGGTGAAGCTGACAGTTTGCAGATATGTCTGGGAAGCTTTAGCCCAAAAAGTAAGTTTCAGCACACAGGTGATTGATTTAGTTTTGGAAACCTGAAGAAAGGCATTCCAGCTGTTTTAGAAAACACAGTAAACACTGTCAGAAAAGGGGCCAGAATCCAGTAGCCCCCAAACTTCTCTACCTTAAAGAGAGAATGCAACTTTAATATGAAATTTACACTTTAGAGAATCATGAAATTCAAAGTGCAAGGTCTCTGCTGCAACATTAACTCAGCCATGTAGCGCACACAGAGCATTTTTTATTCCTTTCTCACTCTTAAAATGGACCTTTTACATCACTGTTACAGTCACAGGTAACACTGTTGTAAGGCTTATAAAGGAGCATGCTAACTTTTCTTCAATAAAGTTTTTTTCACCTGTGCTTTTAACACCGTATTAGAGTAGGATTGAAACTTTTCTAGAAGTCTTGTTTACTTTTCACTATTAAAAAAACATATTAAAATGCAGAATAAAGGAAGGCAAATACTACATTCAATAAGGAAAAGGAAAAGGAAAAGGGTACTGGAAACTGATGGAGTTTTTGTTCCTGGGAGTTAATGTTAGCCTGATCATAAAACTGGGTAAACCATAAACTATTGCTTAAAGATCATATAAACAAACTTTTAAATGCACTCTAGAATTTTTTTTAAAAGCCTCCCTGTATATTCAGTTTCCTCTCTTGGTAAAGACAAATATAAAGAACTATTTCAATTTATTTTCTCTCCACCCTACCCTTCCCCCATACTAGTTTGTGTTAGTTTTACTTTCATTTTGACACAAGTATTCTGAATGGTGTGCTGACATAGTGCTATCCTTAATGCACCAGTAACTTGCAATACATTTTTCTACACATTCTTCATTTTATTTTGAAAATCATGCAGTTAGTACTAAATAAATGATCCCTGGTACCACCAAAATATTGCAGCAGGACAGTGTAATTTAGTATTCTGAGTGTTTAGAAAGCCTGGGTTGATCTTTTGTTTGATAAAGAGAATTCTCTCAATTTCTTCTGCTTAGTTTTTGCAGGCAGTTACCGTAATACATCAGATTTATTATTCAATTGAAAATAGCCCTACTTGCCAAATTGAGAGTTAATAGGACAGATGAGACATACATAAAATTAACAAGACATATGATATCTATCGCATAACTACCAGCTATCCTTAAGAGAAACCAGTTGTTTTCAGCTAAATATTTGTCAGTCATATGCTACCTCAAAAAGCTTACCTAGTACAACATATTTCAAGTACATTAATGCAGGTGTCTTATTTTTCTCCCATATCCCTATATTTCTAACAGTATTAGGCATGCTATCATTTAATGCCTTTTTGTAGTGGGATATAAAAGAGGGAAACTTTTTAAGAACAGTCAATATCAGTTGTTGTGATGTTTAACACTTTGGTAAATGGAACCCAAAGAGCTAAATGTTTTGGTGTTTTTGCTTTACTGGTTAGATTTTTACTTCCACATTGACCTCCAATGTTCTGAGAAGGCATAGCCTAGAACATGAGACTAGATTTGAATCTACTACACCAACTGTGTATAGCCTAGAAAAAACACAATCTTATTTTATTGTTTTTAAAGGAAGGCTTTCTGAATATGCCTATCAGGCAAAGGCCCTTTCTACACTATGAAGGGATGCAACAACTTATGGTTTGTTAACGTCATGTGAATCCATACTACAATTTTAAAAAGCTATTCAATACCTGATACAGGAGTCACCAAAGGTATGTCTGAACAGAGTTTAGCTTCAGCTGGTTTAAGTGTAGCATGGACAAAGTATACAAGTTTTGTTGCAGAGCCCGAGTCTTGGGCCAACCATAACCACAACACGACAGCATAATGCCAAGATGAGAATAGCTTTGCAAATGCATGCTTTCTGAAGCAAAAAGTGAACGCTATCTACGCTAGCAATAGTTCTCTTGTGGGCCTGTTTAAAAGAATCCAAGTTCTCAAAGGAGGCCACATTGGTGCAGCTTCACTGGTGGTGGTAACAGATCACCACTGTTTACACCACCTCACCTAACCTGCTCAAACAGGCCTAGAAAAAGAGGGTGATAAAAGTGTCTGCAACCTATCTATGCTAATGCTCCCACCAGTAGAGCTGAACAGTGGTAGTGTAACAACATAAATTAAGAAAAAGGCCACTGCAAACAAGACCAAAGGTTTGGTATGACAACACATTCAAATGCACATACACTACAGGGTACAATACTCCAAGTATGAGCACCATATAGCCATCCATGGCCAAAACATCAATGCTCCTGTCTTGATATAGTTGCCAGGAATGCAATTTCAAAGTGTAGACACAAACACCATCTTTTCAGATAGGACTATTCTAATATATACTGGCTGATGGCTGTACCAGCCAGATGCAGGTGTGGGGAAGGGGTGGCACTAGGGGACTGAGGGCTAGTCTACACTGGCAGCACTTTACCATGGCTTGTGTAGTCGCGGCACAGCGCTGGGAGAGCATGTTCTAAAAAAACCCCACCTCCACGAGGGGCATAGCTCCCAGCACTAGTGCACTGTCTATACTGGTGCTTTACAGCACTGAAACTTGCTGCAGTCAGGGGGATGTTTTTTCACACCCCGAGTGAGAAAATTGCAGTGCTGTAAAGTGCCAGTGTAAACAACCCCTCACCTACTTCTACCATGTTAACAAGAAAACTACATTTAAATCTCCCATAAAGAAATGTTATTTATCCCAGGAAACTGGGCAAGTAGAATTTTGCAAGGCTGGTTTAAAGCTTTATTACAAATGTAAGAAAGTGATATTATAAACTACACTAATTAAACTACAGTATAAGTGACTTGACTGTATTTTGTGTCAGATATTTAGGAGTGATGCATTTCTAGCTCCCGGATTGACTCTGTGGAGAGATACGCGAACAATTATGACATAATTAATTAAATGCTCAGACACTCATCTTATGATCAACCCCCTATAATGAATGCTACATTGTCCAGTAGGGCAGAATTATGTGAGTATCTATACAATATTCCAACCCACATAAAAGTTGCCACAGGATGGCAGATAAAGTCTCTTGTACTTACGGTCTCAGGTGTATATGCTCCCCCCTCCCAGGAATTTAAGTTTAAAAAAAAAAAAAAGAGCAAACAAAACCACTATTTCAGACCAATGGTTCATGCAGTCCACTATCCCACCTCAGACAGTGGCAAATACCAAATGCTTCCCAGGAAGGCACAACCCTACAGTGGACAATTTACAGAAGAAGCTCTTCCTAGGGTAAGTTTCTGACTAGCCCCCAGTAATTTGTGCTTGGTTTAGACACGGAATCATAAGGGATAAAAGTTTTTTTTTTAAATCCTATGTGAGAAATTTCAGAGCAATCTAACAAATATAGGTGAATGGGCAAGAGAATAAAACATGAAATTCAGTGCTGTCTAATGCAATGTAATGCACATTGAAAGAAATAATTTCAACTACTCATACACATTGCTGAGTTCTAAATTAGCTGACTACTAGATTAACAGGAAAGAAACCAGGGCATCATTGTGACCAGTACAATGAAAACCTCTGCTCAGTGTGCTGGGACAATCAACAAAATACTGAAGTTAGAATGACAAAAATATAAATTTGTGGTATGCCTTCAACTCAAATGTGATGTAGCCCAGATAACACACCCACTAGAGAAACAGCAAAAACAAAACAGATTCAGATCGATGATGAAAATTATTGAAGGGGAGATTGCTGTACAAAGAGAATTAAAAGAATGAGACTAGTTTACAAAGAAGACTACTAAGAGGAAAAATAAGATACATGCATAAAATAACGTTACAGAGAATATAAATTGAGTGCTCCTCTTTACCCTCACTTGGTTGGAAACACACACACACAGCTTGAAAGACAGCCAATTTAAATGAATGAACATATCTTGATTTACACAACATATTGTTAGAGTTTCACAGCCCTTGCAGAAGTCAAACAAGAATTAGACATTTATATGGGTAACTAGAAGATCCACAATTTTTTTGAGTAGGATTAAAAACCCAAGGACTTGGCCACACGAGGAAATCGCCTGGAACAGCTATTGTGGGGTATGCACTAATTACTCCAGAATAAAGTGATTTTTGCTCCAGAGAAGCGTACACCCAGGGGCCTATTCCGGAAGAGCTAGCCCGGTCTGTTTCCCCTTCCAGCCAAGCCCTTAGAGGACTCTAAACCCTCACGCTTCAGGATACAAACTAATCAAACTGAGTGACTGAAGCACGTTCCCCAGGGGGGTTTCTTGCTCGGGTTCTGAACCATGGGATACTGGCCGGGGTGGGCCCCGTCTGCTGGGCAGAGCAGCTCCCGTGTCACAGGGGCGGGTGACCCATTAGCCAGCCCGCCCGGCTTCCAGGCGCTGTCCTGTGGTGGTGAGTTCCACAGGCCGCTCAGCAGAGACGGCGCCGGGAGGCGGCTGATTCCTAACTACCAACCCCATCGAAACAAGCGACACAGATACCAACAGGTGTCACTGCTACATCGGAGAAACCGATTATCGCCCCGGGGCAGCGCTCAGGCACCCGGCGGGCACGGGGGGAACCCCGGGAGGTACCTGCGTGGTCAGCCCCTGCTCCTCGTCCTCGTGCCCGCTCAGCACCCGGCGCAGCTTCTCCATCTCGCCGCCGCCTCAGGCCCCTCGTCCCGCCCCACGCTGTCCCCTCCCCCTCGAGCCCCGCGCACCACTGACCCCGCCCCCGCTAAACCCCCACCGGAAGTCACGAGACCATAAACGGAAAGAGAGCCGCCGCCGCTGCCGGGACTTTAATCCAACCATTAGGGTCCGGCCAGGAGCCCCGCCCCCTCCGGGAGAAGGGCCCCGCCCCTCCTCCTGACTTCTCCCTTTATCCACACCCTCTTCCCCTGCCCCGCCCCGAGACTAGCCCCGCCCTCTCCCCGAGCACAGCCCCTTCCCTCCTCGCCACGCCCCCTTCGCCTACGCAACTCCTGGTCCCTCTGCCTCAGCCTTCCTAGTGCCCACGCCCCCTGCCGGCCGTGGCTCCGCCCCTTTTCTGATGCCTGACCCCACCGCAGTCGCTACGCTCGGCTTCCCCTCCCGCCCTCGTGCTCCCACGCCCGGCCCGCCTACGGGCCTCAGGAGCGCCAGGCTGGGGGGCGGCTTGGGCATCCCCAGCTCTGGGGCAGCCTTGCAGTGCTAGGCGCCTGCCAGGGTGTTAGTTTGCGTAATTTCTTGCTAACAGCATTCAGTCATCTGCAACAGCGCGCTCTGTCCCCACTGCCAATCAGGCCCATGGAGAGGGATTTCTGTACAAATGTAGGTATGCCCTAGAGAATTACAGCTCCTGCCACCTCCTGTGGTTATCCTCTCAAGTGCAACCTCTCCGTTAAATTGTGAATAAATAATTCCCTATAAAATACTACTATATTGATATTAAAGTATCTGCAGAGAAATACTCTGAATTAATCTAAACTTCCTACAGTAATATTTAAATATTACCAAAATTAAGTAAATGTACATACATACATCTTGTCATTGCTTACAATTCAATGCAACAATCAATTTCCTATCAAATTAAGGCAAAAGCACATCACATTATACAGGATTGCATTCATGAGCTAAAACCATCTTCAATGAAAATGATCTATAAGAACAGAAGAACGGCCACGCTGGGTCACACCAATGGTCCATCTAGCCTAGTATTTGGTGGACCAACAGTGGCTTGTGCCAGATACTTCAGAGGGAATGAGCAGAACAGGGCACTTAATCAGGTGATCCTTCCTATCATCCAGTCCTAGCTTCTGACTGTCAGAAGTTTAGGGACACCCAGAGCATAGGGTTGCGTCCCTGGCCATCTTGGCTAATAGCCATTGATGGACCTTTCCTCCAGGAATTTATCCAATTCTGTTTTGAACCCAGTTATATTTTTGGCCTTCACAACTTCCCTGGCAATGAGTTCCACCAGTTGACTGTGTGTTGTGTGAAAAAGTACTTCCTTATGTTTGTTTTAAACCTGCTATTAATTTCATTGGGTGACACCCCCACCCCCCTCCAGGGGTGCTAGTAGGGTGACCAGATGTCCTAGGGTGACCAGATGTCCTGATTTTATAGGGACAGTCCCGATTTTTGGGTCTTTTTCTTATATAGGCTCCTATTACCCCCCCAACCCCTGTCCCAATTTTTCACACTTGCTGTCTGGTCACCTTAAGATGTCCCGATTTTATAGGGACAGTCCCGATATTTGGGGCTTTTTTTATACGGGCTCTTATTACCCACCACCCTCTGTCCCAATTTTTCACACTTACTATCTGGTCACCCTAGTTGCTAGAACAATTTTTATAGTGGGGGTGCTGAGAGCCTTTGAACCAAACTGTAAACCCTGTATATGATGGAAACCACTTCAAGCCAGGGGGTGCAGCAGCACCCCTAGTTCCAGCACCTATTGTGACCCCTGGTTCTTGTGTTATGTGAAGGAGTAAATAACACTTCCTTAGTCACTTTCTCCACACCATTCATGATTTATAGACTTCTTATCATATCCCCCTTTAGTCATCTCTTTTCTAAAATGAACAGTCCGTCTTTTTAATCTCTCCTCAAATGGAAACTGTGCCATAGTCCTACTCATTGTTGCCCTTCTCTGTACTTTTTCCAATTCTAATATATCTTTTTTGAGATGGGGTGACCAGAACTGCATGCAGTATTCAGGTTGTGGGCATACCATGGATTTATATAGTAGCATTATGATATTTTCTGTCTTATTATCTATCCCTTTCTTAATGGTTCCTAACATTCTGTGAGCTTTTATGACTGCTGCTGCACACTGAGCAGATATTTTCTGACCCCCAAGATCTCTTTATTGAACGGTAACAGCTAATTTAGACCCCATTATTTTGTATGCATAGTTGGGATTATATTTTCTAATGTGCATTACGTCACATTTATCAACATTGAATTTCATGTGCTGTTTTGTTGCCCAGTCGCATGTTTTGAATATATTCTATATGATAAGATTCCAGGAACATCACTCAGTGTGTGTCCCTCTGAAGTCTATAATGTCTGTTGAGTCAGTGTAAAAAGTGAGGGAAACAGCTACAAGAATGGTTGAGAGCTCTTTTAGTTCAGAATATCATCAGATTGAACCATCACTGAATTTCATGGTCTGTTACTGTGCAATTTCTAAATTCTCAGCCTTTCTGACTTTACAAATTACACCTGGGATGGTGTACAGCTACAGTAAAGCATTTACCTATCTATGCCATGCCAAGAGTCCTAAACCATGGTGATATCACAGGTAAATCAACTAAGCAGCATCCTTACTCTGTGGCTAATTTGCATGCATCGGTTTCATCGGTTGTATAAGGAGACTGTACTGATGGTGGATTATTTGGCCTAACTGCCACTGGAATAAATCAATACAAATCTTCCAGCACAGCCCATCCCTAGACACAAATCAACACAACCGCCTACACAACACAACCAGCTCACATGATAACCCCAACACACACAGTCCTCACACAGAACAGACCCATCATTTATCTCCGGCAAAAAACAAAAAAATCCCCCAACCAGTACAACACAGCCCCCCACCCCCAATCATAACTTTTCCAGCACAACACACAGGTTTGCCCACCCTCACTCATACTTACCATAAAACAATTAACTTGAGCAGAAAAGCTGCTGGTTCATTGCTACTCATTATATAATTATAGCTATAATGGACTGCTAGTTTCTATAACCACTCACATGACAAGACCCATCTGGGTACAGACAATATTTGCAGGAGAACTCACAAATCATCTAGCTGCATAATTCCTTATTGTTGCCTTTCAACTGGTCAGTTTTTGCTTCTGAGACTGAGTTTAAATATTTGAGTGTCAAATCCTGCAAACCTTTATTCACATGCGTATTCCCTGTAATGCCCAATGGTGATTAAAGACTACAAATATGAATAAGCATTTACAGGATAATTCCCCTGGTGATAAGGCCTCTCATAAGATAATGGCCAAATTCTGTTCTTAATGACAAAAACACAATTGCATTAAAGTTGCATGAGTGTTACACAGCATAATCTGGTCCAATATGGGATATCCTTGGCAGCCTGTTAAAAACTTTGGACCACCTTTGGCCCCAAGGTAACTTGATTTACTTCAGTGAAGTTACATCAGAAATGAATTTGGCCCCTTTAGTTTAAAAGAAAATAACATTAAAAAACCCAGCCTGTAATTCATTCGTTTTCCTGCTTGCCCAGTGGTTCAGTATTAGACTTTGAATTGGAGTCATAGTAGTAGCTTTATGTGGAGAAAGATAAAACAGTTAAATTATCCACTTTCATAGTGCTTAAATGTGGTACCAAAAAGCCAGACTTATTATAGACGCCTCAGATAGATATTAGATATACAAAAGTTAGAATCCACTAATTCAGTTTTGGGCCAACATTTGCCTCTGCCATTCATTTCTTTCTGGCATAAATTGGAATTTTCTGCATATGCCCCTGATGTGAAATTTCCCCAATTTCTGCAGCAAAAACCAAAAACAGTTTTTTATAACAAATTGGCAGTTTTTTACATTCAAGATGTACCTTTAATTTGTTTGCATGGCAAACAGCAAAGATTCGAGGTAAAGCTACAATAGTTTCGATTTTCATAAAACTAATTAATGTGATTATTCTTCTTGATGATGATTGGTTAATCTATTTAAGAATTATTAATATTACAGTCAAGCCTAAAGGTCTTACCAAAGATCAGGCCCCCATTCTTCTAGTCCTGTACATATACATAACAAGAGACAGTGTCTGCCCCAAACAGCTTACAACCTAAATAGACAAGACAGACACAGATAGGGAGAAAGGCAGTATTATTATCTCCACTTTACAGATGGGGAACTGAGTCTGGATCTGCCCTCTCTGAGCCATCTGCCAAGCTTAGCCAAGCCTGCCAGGTGCCCTGTGCCCCACCATCTTTTTTGCCCAGGGACAGGTGCCCTACTAGAGAGGGGTCCTCTCCCTGGGCCCCTTCCTTAGGAAAATTCTGGTTGTGCCCCTGCCTTGGGCAACTTAGAGTACTGGCCAATGTACAACAAAGCCTTAAACAGCTCCCCTAAACCTGGAAGAATTGGTAACATTAGAATATTGCTCATATAGTTTTTGACAAATTAAACTTACTTTCAGAGGGTGTTCTAAAAGCGAAATATAAAAATAGAACCAAATCCAAAACACAAAACCAGCTTCTATACAAAAGGCAAAACCAAATTCAGTGTTGTGTAATGCTTGTTGACATCAGTCTAATTACACTAGGGATAAATTTGACTCACCCTGTATAGGATTCCCGAATCACTTTCAAATTGTGATCATGTAAGCACAGGGGTAGACAGCATGCTGAGATTATATACCTGTTATTATGGATTTGGACATATGATACTCCTGCTCTAAGCAAGAAAATAGAATAATAAAAATGTAGGCCTATTTGAATAGGGAGGAGTGTGGGATGTACTGTTTTACATATGGACTGTTTCCCTCTAATGGCTGGCCTAAAAAGAGGTTATAAGATCTAGCTATTAATAAGAACTAATGATAATCTAATTACCACTGCATGATACTAAGGAAATATTTTTGGATGATTATCCACAATTTAGTTTCACCATTTTTCCTGACACTGACATTATACATTTTCACATTTTGTAAAAAATAATAATTTTGC